CTTTATCTTTCATTCACTCATGGTACTTCTCCCTTCCCAGATACTTTCCACAGTCACAAAGCCACACCCACTCCAATACCCACCCCAGAGTGGGCATCATGATGTCGGCCACTCCTGCATTGCTAGAACTTCATTCCGCGCTTCCTGTCCCATAAGTTGCTACTCTGCTAGCACCTCCTCTGCTCGCCACTCGTTGGCAAGAATTAGAAACACACCCACCCAGACCCCATTTCTTGTTGATATACTCTATTTGGCAGATTCTACTTGCGAGATATCTTTGGAATGTGCAATTCTTCCCCACCACATTATATGACCTCGGCGATATTTTAGGTTACCATTAGCCCCTCCCAACACTGTATTTGTTATTTCCAATTTTCATGTCTGCTGCACTGCCAGGGAAATACTTCTAAGTGTTGGTTTCAGTTACTTTTGTCTCTTGTTGCTGAGATAAAATACCCAGTGCTTAAAATTAAAGAGGGAAAAGTTGATTTAGCTCATAGTTTGTAAAGGTTTCAGTCCATATTCTGCTGGACTCCAAGGCAGAGTGGCCCATGGCAGAGGGCAACAGGTCATCATGGTGGAAGCCAGCAAAAGCAGCAATAGCAGAAAAAGAAGAGGGAGAGAAGACTTGTTACCTGCCCTTATACGCTGCATATAGGCTGCCCATCCTAGGGCAGGTGTAGTACTTACACCCATAATCATAGCATTGGCTTATGAGCCCATCACATACCCAATGACTGCATATGGCTTCGGGGAAACTAGACACAAGCCATAACAGTATTCTTTTTTAGGACAGTATCTCACTATGTAGTCCAGGCTGACCTTGAACTCATGATGTAGCCTAACTAGCCTCGAATTTTAGATTCATTTGTCTTAGCCTCTTGACTGCTTGGATTATATTTTCTTTTTTAAAATTTATTTATTTGGTACAGGGTATCACTATGCAGCTCGGACTCACAGTGATCCTCCTGTCTCAGCCTCCCCAGCACTGGGATTACTGGAGTGTGCCACCATGCCTGGTTTTGGTGGCTAGCTTGGTACTAGGCTGGCATAGCATATGGTACCTGGAATTGAATTCAGGTCCTTGAGCTTGCCAGGCAGACAGTTAGAGACAGCCAAGGTATATGCCCACCTCTTGAATTGAGTTTTCTAACAGAAATACTGCTCACTGAACTGTCACACCCCACAAAGTGTTCCGTAATCTAGATCTACCCTGTGCTTCCAATGTTGGGTTGAATTCATGTCAATTTGCTTGCTCCTTTTGATAATTAGTTTTTCCTGTTGCAATCCCACACAGTCATACATACACTGATAAACTCCAACTAATCCTCTGAGATTAACAAACATTATTCTACGAAACTGTACTTATATTGGCACCACAAAAATCTGCATTGCTGGTTTAAAACAACAGTAAAAAGAAGCTGCTTTCCATGCTGTTTGAGAAGAATGATTCAGAAATTGAAAATGAATTCACTATTAGAATAGAAACATGACAAAATCATTCTATTTTTGACTTGGAATCACAAGATTTTTATGGCTGAAAGACTTAGAGTCAATCCAGACCAAAGTTTTTTGTGGTTTCCATATAAAAAGTAAAAGCTCTTGTCTTAAGACGAAGTTTGGGAAATTTGTATCCGGTTGTGTAACATCAGCTGCATAACTTGAGTGGTCTTTCTACAGCATTAAAGACAGCCATCAGCACAGTATCCATCCATGAAGTTTAGAGCCATAGAATCCGAGTGTCACAATCCCAAGTTTGCTTATGTCCTATAGCATGAATTCATCTATTATTTTATTTTAAAGAGGGAAAAACAAAACAATGACACAGAATTTCAAGGCAAGATACTAGGAAATTAACAATAGTTAACATGCTACTTATTGTTATCCTCATAGTAGTTGCTGAGAGTACCAGAATTAGGCATGTAAAATTATTCAAACGATATAAGCACAAACCATTCTTTTCAATGTGGTAATAGCAATTAGTACTATAATTATCTTAGCTATCTTGTGCGTGTTAACATATATTTTCCTTTCCCTTTCTTCTTTTCTCCTTTCCCCTATCCTTTGTTCTTTCCTTCTGAGCAGCTTCTTTCCCTTTCACAGTATCTATTATTTATTTTGGATCTTGTTTACTCTCTCAGGTTCTTACATTAGGGAGACAATATGATGTTTACACATGTGAGGCTGATTTATTTCACCTGTGAATATCATCTCTAGTTGCATCCATTTACCTATAGAAGTGTTGAGTTTGTCCTCTTTATAGCTGAGTAGTAAGTACTCCAAACAACTTACAATTTCTTAGAAATAAAGTTGGCCGTGGTCCCTGTATTTAGTATTCAAAATTCACTACCCATATTAAAATTTTACTACTATACATGAGTAAACAAAAGTTTCAGTGCACAAATTGGCACCTGGATTTTCTTTATTTTTCGAAACCATTTTCCTCAAAATCCTTTATAATGGCAAATTATTAGAAAGGCAAGCAAATTATCATAGTACAAGGTTAACTATGTTACAGTTCATCAGTAAAACTTTAAAAATTGGGAATCAGGCTAGATATTGTTAGCACATCTTATAATTTCTCTGGAAACTGTTATCAGTCATCAGACTCAACCAGTTCTCTTAAGAAGAAGTCTCCAAACATCTAAAACCAATTTCTAATTTTTTTTGTTTTGTTTTGAGATAGTGTCTTGCTATGTAGTTCAGGGTAGACTTGAACTCACCAAGTAGCCCAGGCTGGCCTTGAACTCAGCAGTCCTCTTATCTTCAGCTTTCTAAGAGCAAGGATCAGAAGATGATCACCACCATATTCCACCTAAAACTCAATTTTTATTTTTTATTTTAAAATTACTATTATTATTATTATTATTATTATTATTATTGTGTGTGTGTGGCCGGCTCAGCCCACCCTAGGGGCAGGACTGGTGCAGCATGTGGTGCTGGGGATGGAAGCATGGTCCCTGTGCTTTGCCTAAACTTGCCTAAGCAGGCGCTTTAGACCACTGAGCTATTTTGCCAGCCCTAAAACTCAATTTTTAAATGCAACTCATTTTAAGGAGTGTCAGTGTTTGGGAGCCCAAATATGTAAATTAGATTTGGATTAGCAACTGAACCAAAAGTGAACATCATAGTTGACAAAAGTTTCACGATGCGTGAAACTATAACTGTACATTTTATTTTAGCAGTCATGTTTCAAAAACAGAAATAATGGCAATCGGAGCCATTTTCACTGAACCCAGAGTCATTTAGGTCTGAATTAGGGCTACTTTGAGTAACACCTCCTTTCACAATTCTCCTGAAAAGGTTTTACAGCATTTTTTCCTTTGTTACGTACATATACCACTTCTTGAGACTGATCCTGGTAGACTTGGAACACAGAGCTGCTTCGATCCTTTTCTTTTTGAGGTGTTTCTTGTTGAAATGTGTACACGGTTCTCTAAGTCTCCAATGCAGTCACTGGCTTGAAAAATGACTGACTTACTTGGAAAGTTGTTTTTACTTCTAAATCCCCTGGGCCTCATAAGGTCTAAACCTCCCATGCCACTTTATCTGACCAACACCACCCCACAGGAGAGTGTGTACAGGAAGAGCAAGTTGTCCCACCCACATTTCTTCATTTTATTTACAAAACATCTTGGCCTGAGCGTGAGCTGCTTGCGGTTCCTGCGGCTGATTCTGGGACCGTTTCCTGCAGGCGTGGGACTGGTCAACAGGGTGAGCTCTCCAAAGTTAACCCATGCACCCCTGCAGCTGGGCTCTTTGGGCTGATGGGCACTCCCAGCTAGCCCTGAGTAATGTGTCCACATAAGTAGAGCTTGGTATTAACCAAACATCTTCCAGACAGTGTCAGTCATGGCAAGGGCTATCCAAGCCCAGCTCTTCTACCACCAACAAAAGAAGTTGGAAATGGACTGGGGTACCTTTGGACTGCCATGCCTCCTCAGTCCTGGCTTCTTGAAGGAACACAGCTTTTTCTTTCTGACATCCTAAAAGGTCAATAAAGCAATAAGCATTGTATGTGAGTAGAGACTATATAAGGAGAGGAACTCATCCACAATGCCAGCTGCATGACACACCCTTTATTTAGCTGTATGTGTCATCATGAAGAGTCGTAGGAGGTCACATGACCTCAAGGGAGCATGAATGCTCATGGATGCTCTTACTGCATTCATCAGTGACTTCCGGCGACCCAGGAGTCTGTGTAACAGCGATCATGACTTCTGGGACTCTCCAAGTGCGCTTTTCACTTAACTAAGTAGAAAGTGAGAGTATCAAAGCTAAAAATTGCCTCCCAAAGGAACAAATATTGGAAATAAAGTACTGTCAGCACTCACATATTTTTCACATGGAAACATTGGTAAGAAAAGTCTCATTTTCACCAAAAGATCAATCTAATCTGCTAAGTATTAAACCCAGGTGAGCAGAAAAGTTTCAGGAAAGCGTTGCAGGGTGGTGAGCAGCTGACATAGTTTCAGAATTAATTTGCATTGGATAAAGGGTAAAATTGTGTTCACCAATAAGCCATGGTTAAAAATACTATTCCAGAAGGTACCATTCTCATTCACAATAAGTCCTAGAATGTGTTGCTATGCTTGCTGAAGAAATTTGAGATATGTGCTTATTATTTGCTACAAAAATGGAAAACCAAACCCATGTGTGTTGTTTGCAAGGTGTAAATCAGCATGAAGTCGCCAATCTCCTATTTCCCGGGGTGCTAATTCAATAAGAGTAGCTTACATATAGACTTTGTAGATCATTTCAGCCAAATATGATTTTATCTTTCCAAGGCATAGATTTTATGAACTTTGGAATTAAAATAATATGGGTACTGGTGAGGGAAATACAAGATCTCAAAATATGTGGGGAAAAAATAATCTCACCTCATTCATTCCTGATTATCAAGTTGAAAGCTAACAAGAAGAACTTCTACATTGCAAAAGATATCATCTCGCTTCTGTCTGGGATGTAACCTTTGCTTTTGCCTTCTACTGTCTCCCCAGTGCACCCCAACGTCAGCCAAGGCTGTCAAGGAGGCTGTGCGACGTGTTCTGATTACAATGGGTGTCTGTCATGTAAGCCCCGACTGTTTTTTGTTCTGGAAAGAATTGGCATGAAGCAAATAGGAGTGTGTCTCTCTTCATGCCCAAGTGGATATTATGGAACTCGATATCCAGATATAAATAAGTGTACAAGTAAGTGCCCACACAACATTATATTTTTATCTCATCCTTGGGGACTTGTCCAGATTCCAGTGACTTCTAAAATATCTGTGATATTCTTTGTTGAGGAAAACATGATGTCGGGCTGATAATTAGGCTAAACTGTACTTAGACTTAGCCAACCATGAGGGCAGGAAAATTTTCAACTGCTACTGTAACTGACAAAAAATGAAGCACTTCAGTTTTGATTATATTGTAAAAGCCAGTGCCGAGGGCATGGTTGTTATCACTGAACCCACAGAGAATTTCTGCAGCCAGCAGTACCACCTAAGGCCCTGTTACTATCTCACAGTCCAAGTATTTAACAACTTGAGTTCATTTTAGCTCTTTGGCTTCCAGAAAGGTTCTAATATAGCAACTGAAGCATTTATTTTGTCAGTTGGAAATAAATGTTGGAAGCGCTCTCACCTGGACCCCAAATGGCTGCTCTCAGTGCCAAAGATAAGGTGAACTTTCAAAACTGTAAATTAGGAATCTTGCACCTCTGCCCAAATGGCTTGTGCCTAGCTTTCCCAGACCCCTCATCTTCCCGGCTGCCACATGTCATGGCCTTGGGCCTCCCTCCAGGGGCCTCCCTGCCCAATGGCCTGGCCCAGGCCTACGCCCCAGGCTGCTAGGGCACCTGGAAGCTCTGCCCACACCTCTGAACCCTCTGGGTCATTCTGGATTCTGTGGCCCTCTCCTCCTCAGAGAAGCACTCTAAGACCATCTTACCAAATTAATCAGCTTCTTTTCTATCAGTCCCCTTTTTCCCTTTTTCTGTGGTTTTCCAGAGCCCTCTTACTCCAGAATGAAGCTGCCTAGGTTCCAAAGTCATGCCCCTCTTGTGGTTGTTGGCTAGTTACATAACCATCTCATGCCTTGGTCATTCATCAATGCAATGAGAACCACAGCGAGGGCTATGTATTGGATTCTTACAAAGTTTAAGTAACTTAACATTATGAATACTTGCAATAGTCCTGGTGTATAGGGTTACTATGTAAAGATCACCCACTGACATCATGTATTTTCTTGAATTTGAATGTTAGGCAGCCTCTACTCTGTGCTGTTATTAACTAATACAAAATGATGCCTGATGTTTAGTGGGTAATAAGATCATTGCTGAGTGAAAAAAATAGCCCTAAAGAGCAGCACAAGACAGATCTCAGTTATTTTATTAAAGTTCTTTTGGGACATCAACAATATCATTCAATACAAATAGTGACTTGGTATTATAACCATTTTTGGCTATCTATCTATCTATACACAAGTAAAATATCCCTTATCTGAAGTGTCTTGAACCAGATTTTTTAAGTTTTGAGGATTTAGGAATATTTGCATAGGTTTTGCTAGTTGAACATCTCAAATTTGAGCACCTCACCTCTAAAACTTCTGCAGAATGAAGTCATGCTTTAAGTGCTTCTGATTTCAGAGCATTTTGGATTTTAGGTGTTTGAAAAATAGATGCTTAAATCATCTTACCATAAATTTTTCATGAGGTAACCAGTGCAATGACATTGAAGTCAACAACTGATACACAGCAACTAAATGACTGGAGGAATCCTTGATTAAGTTTAGCATAATAGCTTTGAAACCCAAGTTTGCGTTCGATACAAAAGTTGCATGTGCATGAAAAACTGGCCCAACAACAGTCAGTAGATAACAAAAACATATTTCTCCTTGCCTTTTCTTTCAGAATGTAAAGCTGACTGTGATACCTGCTTCAACAAAAATTTCTGCACAAAGTGTAAAAGTGGATTTTACTTGCACCTTGGGAAGTGCCTTGACAGTTGCCCAGAAGGGCTGGAAGCCAATAACCACACCATGGAGTGCATCAGCATCGGTGAGACAGACTCTGAGACTTGGGGGGACGGCAAGGCACCCCCAGTGGTAGGCAGGCTCCATGCACATGCTGCGGAAGTGCAATGACACAGGCACTTGGAGGACGTCCCTAAGTGCCCCTTTCCATGTCTTTAGAAAAATACCTAATTTTAGAGATTCTCCCAAGGCCTTACCCATCATGTGTCACAGTATAGTTTAATACCTAATGAGTGCTCCATGATTTCTTAGGGACTTCATAATTATTTCAATTACTGTGATAACTCTAGGTTTATTTTGTAGTATTATGCTATGAAAGTTTACTTGTAACAGAGAGTGTATGTGTCTGTGTGTGTCTTGAGCCAGACCGTGCTTTGGGGTACCAGTTTCACAAAACATATAGGTCTAACCTCGGCCAGTAACCCAAGCTGTTTTCTGAGGACAAAGGGACATGTCCTCTGATGCAGGCCACAGCACAGCAGTGCTATGCTACACAGGTGTTTGGAAATAAGGGACAGAGGCCTTTGGACCTGCTCATCCTGTCAGAAAGAGATAGTCCCAGGGCCTGATTAATTGCAGGCTGAGTTTCCTCCAGTGGAGGCCCTGCAGACAGTGTTTGTTTAACGGATCACTGTCAGGCTGCATTTTCCCTCTGTTGCGTGTTGTGCAGTCACTAGAGCACCAGCTGGATGAGCACTTGGGGAGCAGATGCCATGCTGAAGGGGAAAACAGCGGAGCAAAAGTCCAAGGCCCCTGGGCAGGAACTGCAGGAGCCTTTGATGCTGCCCCGCCTTGGCACATGCTCAGGGCAGCTCTCGAAGTCTGGCAGAGATAGGCTCCAGCAGCCTGAAGCCATCAGAAGCGGAGGTGTCGGCGCGAAAACCAGAAGGTGGAGGGTTAACCGCTGCCGTCCGAACACAGAAATCCAATTTCTAACCATGTTAGGTAGAATGAAACACATACATAATATTTTAAAGATGCCTTTAGAAGTTGCTGAAGGCCAATCTTGAATCAATTCATGACGATTTTACTTAAGTCTTGTGTGGTCAATAAAAAACATAAGAAAAACAACTTAGGAAACGGGTAAAAGGTACATGAGAAAGAACTTCAAGTTCATCTCTTTGTAGGTCCTGAGGGCTGGTGATTAGGGGTAATAAGTTCCAAACAGTGGAAAAATATGGGAAACACTTCTGTGGAATAAGCAAGCACAAAAATTCAGAACAAATCCCTAAAACTTTATGGGATTCCTTTATCTAGTAAAAGGACATATATTTAAAATTTCAAAGGTATTGAACACACGCCGTTCAGTCTTAAAAAGCTATTTATACTAAATGTATTCATATTTTCCTGTCATGGACAGTATTAACCTCTTGGGTTAGCCTTTAAAACCTAACATTATATCAATAAAACCAAGACTATTTCTTAAAACAAATTTAAGTCATTTATATGTTTTAAAGTCAACACCAACTATCAAAAATCTATTTAATTAATCTGGAGCATTTAGCAGGTACACATGACACTCCTCGTAGGAACGCAGCACTTTTTTCAGGGCTGGATTTTTCTCCTTCCCGTGTAACTGGCGGAGAGCCTAGGGCACTCACGCTGCAGCAGGCTCTCAGAGCCCTTTGCTGGCAGCCAGGCGAGCCAGCAGGTGAGCCGCGCACACCAGCGCCCACAGGGCGGTGTTCGCACTCTGCCTAAGCAAGGCCTTGGGTTCCAGGGTGGACCCTGGGTCTCTAAGAGAGTCTCCTCCCCTGCTAAGGGTGCTTCCATCATATGGTCACCCAGACAGCAGGGCCATCCCAGAACCATCAGGAAAATGGCAACCTACGTCACTGCAAAGGAATGTGAAAGTCCATCCTTGAACAAGGAAGAAAACTGAGGCAAAGGGAGCTGGAATATTGGTCCCAAAGACATATTCCAAGTTATCGCTGACAACCTTAGTACCTGGGCTTCAGCTCCTCACCACCCAACAGCACGTATCTTTCCCACGCTGAGCTCAAAACACACCTCACCTCTTGCTTCCTACCTAGATTTTTCCATTAGTGGAAAGACCATAAACAGGAAATGCTGCCTTGATATGGAGCTGGGGTGAAAGTCTCGTGTCACAACTGATAGACTCCCCTTGGTTTTCAGGCCAAGTTAAGCGTAAATAAACATCCACTGAACCCAGTTTGGTGGAGCAAGTATTCCTTCTACTTGTGCTTCGGAGAGTTACTTCCTGCCTCGCTGTGTTCTGCCCTCAGCGCTCCTCTTGGGGGAAGTGGACTTGCTCAGGCAGCCCCTGGGGGAAGTCAGCCCACTCTAAGCTCTGAGGAGAGAGGAGCACATCTCTCCCTGTTTCCCATGGAAACACATAGTAGGTCAGCAAGAATCACAGAAAAATAGAGTGTGGTGTTGAAAGGCCATCCCTGGTACGACATGGAGTACAATCTTCCTCCCGATTCCAGAATTGTAACCACTTTTCTTTAAGACACTTGCTTCACTAGTCAATAGCAAGAGAATTTTAGATTTAATATTGTTCTTAACACAGGAAATAGAAAAAGTACAGGTGTTGAGCAGTTCTGCTTTTTCTTAATTATTACATGTTAACGAAAGCAGTGCCCCAGTTGGATATTGTTTATGAATGACCTGCTATCACACACATCATCTTTTCTTGTTAGATTTTTGCAAAGATTTCATTTTTTGGAAATATTACTTCCATGATAAAATTATAGCTTTACTCTATACTATTTCTATCAAAAATTACCTTGTGCCTTTTTAAACTATCTAGAGTTTTTAATTGCCATATCTTATTAGTTTTAATCTATTACTTCCTCCAATGGCACTATGTAAATTATCATTAGAATTTCATTTTTACAAAAAGTTCATGTGTACGACCATTTCAGACTACAGAGCAGTCTACACCTATATCCTAATTTTTTAGTTCTAATTTTCTGAAGTCCAACGTCTACATTTGCCTTTACCACTTTTGCTGCCAGTATTTTGGTCACTTCTGCACTACATAAGCATTTTCCCAATGGGTCTCTTAATTAGGGAACTAAATTAATATTGGAGAAAGTCAAAACTCAGAAACTTTCATCTGCATTTTTCCAGTTACTTCCTTGCAGGCACTTGTATCTGTCTCTGTGTTAAAGTTCCACTACTTTTGCAAGTTCTATTCTGAAATGGGATGTGGGACATTATGTTCTCAACTGGCACAAGATTATAATGTGATATTGTTGAAGGATGTAGCTGGTTCATACTCCAACCAAAATTATAATGCTGGAATGGAAATGAAGACTACTTTGAAAGTTGTTCAATAAAATGGGTTTAACTTTACAGAAATCTGAATCCACTCAGCAAAGCATTTTTTATTGTGCTGAGTTATCTGAGAATGTCTGAAATGTGTCACAAATGGATTTGAATTTCTAAAACATTTAGTTTTATGTTTCTTGAGGCAATCACCAGAGACAGCATTCTGTCATAAAACGAGGACTCCTTGATCCAGAAATTAGCAGAAGGGGAGCCGAAAGCTTATTTCTTTGAAAGGAGGAGTGAGGTACCCTCTGGCAGATCTGCTGCAGAATACTGCCCAGCTGCTTCAAGTTAGGAAATCGCATAGTCAGAAACGTAGGCAATTTTTAGTTGTAAATGTAAAGATAGCACCTTCAGAGATTTCTTTTCATCAGAAGTGCAAAAACCTGTTCTAAAACCTTGGATATCCGTTATTGTAAAGATTACCACATATCAGAGTGGGAAACAGATCTTCAAAAAGCTTCACAAAGAGTTCGCTGTTCCTCGTGGGGACCACTAGTTGCATTAGTCTATAAGCAGATTATCAGCTGAAATTGATGCGGAAGTCTCACAAGATACGTGCTACTAGGTGTCATCATTCTACACTTGCAAGTAGTATTATTTTTCTTTTCTTTTCTTTTTTGTGGAACTGGGGCTTGAACTCAGGCTCTTTTGCCTGCCAGGTGAGCACTTATTCTACTGAGCCAGAGTTTAACAGCACAGGAAGAGGAAAGCACAGAGGCCAAGGATTTGGATGCAGTTTCTGACCAACAGTTTTCCAGGAGGGAGGCTCACAGCCGTGTCCCCAGTATCTATAAATCAGCAGCCCCTCTGTGGACAACACCTGGATTTTTGACAAGTCAAAAGTTCCAGGGCTGTGTCTAGCTTTCTGTGTTTCATCAGGCCTGGCATGTATTCTGATGCAGGCTAAAGTTTGAAAATGAACTGTCTAGCAAATAATTAGAACTTAGGTACTGACCGCGGACCGGTCGGTACTTGCAGCAGTGCTCTGGGAGTGTCACCGCGTTGTAACCCTAGCAGTGGCAGGGCTGGATGTAGAACAAAAAGGAAAGCCAAACATGTGTTTCACTGAGAGCACAAGGAGGGAAAGCAAAGACTCCGTGTCTGCCTCTCCCTCCCTGCTTGCGCTCTGTCTGAGCCATCTTGCTCCACACTTGCCAGAAGGACTTACCCTCAGCGCCAGGCTCCTGGCCGCAGCAAGGCTTTCCCTCCTTAGTGTGGCCGAGTTTGCGAGCCCACTGAAATCACGCCTGTCGTTGTGTTGCAGTGCACTGCGAGGCTGGAGAGTGGAGTCCTTGGGGTCCGTGCACGAAGAAGGGGAAAACGTGCGGCTTCAAGAGAGGGACTGAGACCCGAGTCCGAGCAATAATTCAGCACCCTTCGGCGAAGGGGAGCCTGTGTCCTCCTACCACCGAGACAAGGAGGTGCACAGTGCAGAGGAAGAAGTGCCAGAAGGGAGAGCGAGGTACGGCCCGTGCAGCCCGGCTGGCTTGCTTGACTCTTCATCAGTTCATGCGTAATGCACTCTTTTTTCTCAGAGAACAGTTTGACAATAGTATTCATGTTTAAACCCTAAAAAGTTTATGAAATAAAAGACACGTTGGCTCTGAGCTATAGACTATAGATATAATAAAAGAATGGAGTTCACTATCAGAAATTTACTATCAGAGTAAGGTGTACTACTTGAATTGTGAAGCTTCAGGCTGTATTCTAAGGCCATGCTTTTTCCTGTAATTAATTCACCTCCAGTGCTTGGAAAACTTTAGGGAAATCCTGTAACATAAGTCAGAATGCCATTTGGCTCAAAATCATGGCAAAAGCACATCCCCAATTATTCCTTTCCTTGTCACTCACAAATGAAAGTGGCACAATTAGGTTTATACTTGATTAGCTAAGTATATATTTACTTTTTTTTTTTGCAGAACTGGGAATTGAACTCAGGCTCTTGCGCTTGCCAGGGAAGCACTTATTCCACTGAGCCATCTCCCCAGCCCCTATATTTACTTTTAATATTGACTTTATATTTGGAAAAAATGAACAAGTCCGTATTTTATAAGGAAAATATAACCATTAATAACATCCTCTCCCCATGTTTTTGTTTTCTATATTGCGCTAATTTTATATGTTAGACTACAGAACCTGTTATATCAATACTAACTGGGTCAGGACATGTTCTAAAATCTTACGAGTGTCAAGAAAAGATATATAATGAAATCTGATGTTCGATTAAATGTGATGCTCCATTTAGAAGAGCCGCAGGTTGTTGATTTGTTGCTGTTGTTGTTGACCTTTGAAACAGCATTTTCCTATCTTTGAAAATTTATGTCCCCAGCACTCCTGAATACTAATATGTTGTGTAAATTGAAATAACTGTTAGTAGTTATTTAGTGAACCTATAAATGAGTGCTTTATTTATTTATTTATTGATTGATTGATTGATTGGGTGCCCTGGGCAATTTTATTACTTGTTCCCTAAACCTCAGCTGCCTCATGAATAGCACCTAGTTCATAATGATGATTAAATGCACTAATGCAAAAAACAGTATGTGTCTGGGCCATGCTATGCCTCCAACAAATCCCAGTTGTCAGCTGCTGTTATTCACCTGTCCATGTCACCACAGGGATGGAAGGTTTAACAGAAAAAACGTGTTTTAGCCCCCGGGACATGAGCTGCCCAGTTCGTCCCCAGGGGTCCCCAGGTGTTCCATCCTGGACAGCTGCTAGGTGGCTTTCATCTGCAAAACTGGGAAAAGCCATCTGAGCTGTTTGGGTAGAAGACATGAGCATTCAATCTTCCAGCCTGACAGGCCTAGATGCGTTCTTGTTGATGTAGAAGACTCTGTTGGGGGTGGAGAGAAGCCAAGTCCGGCACCCCGGTTGTACTTCCAGCTCATGACCCGGTCGTAGTCCTGCTGCAACTTCTGCTGCAGGGTGTTGGCTGCTGCCTTGCTGAGGGCCACGTTGGGCCTTCTGGTCATGCAAGGGGACAAGTGGCCAACACAGGGGACAGATTCTTAAAGCCACCCATGTTTGAGAAATTTCACTTTCTGTTCCTTGTTTGCAAAATTTGCAGTATCCCACTGGCCAAACTGGGTTCCCGTCCACTTCCTGGGTTCACGCTCTTCTGTCTTGCCTGACTTGCCTTCAAAAGAACCAGCACCCTGGCAAGCTGACCCTCTTCGCTCATTTCATGCATTCATGTGCCATAGTTTAAGTGGGTTCTTCCTTTACGGTCACGCAGAGCTCTGTGCCATAGAGATCAGCAACTAAGTAGAGGACAGTCACGTGACACTTTCCAGGTACATTCAGAACCCAGTGAAGCTCTGAGATGTAACAGCAGTGTTGACAATATCATATTGTAAAAGAGCTTAACAGTATTTATGAAGGGGATTTTATAAAAACTGTCTGTTAAAAAAGGATTTAGGTCACCAATGCAAAATATTTTTCATTGTATGAATTGGCTATCATCAGAATGTGGCCCCTGCAGCCCTAATAATCAAGTAGTGTGATAAAACGGATGAAGACATGGGTTACTTGAAAGAGAACTTCAAACTTTTGTAAACTTATAAGAGGTTTTGATTAAAATTTAATTTCAGGAATGAAAGTTGGCTAGTGAGAAAGGTCCTTCTAGCATTTGTTACCAATTAATTTAAAACATCTTAGATTTTAAAAGTTGGACTTGGAAGTCAAATATTTCATCACTCTGCCTGTTGGTAGGCTCCCATAACCCTACATTTACTTATGTTTACTAAATTTTCTTAAAATTTAATGACTTACAGGTGGTCTGTGTTCATATTCTTTCCACTAAGAGTCTACAGTGATAATCAGTATTCAGTACGTTTGGCTTTTAAATTTAAGTAACAAAAGGTTTGGCCAATAGAGAAATTAGACGCTGATACTAATTGCCTGTTATTTATTTGATGAGAGAAATGGCCTTTTACTTTGCTAGTGCTTCACTTAAACATTAACTCTGAAAATGTCACTTCTTAAAGCTAGCAAGTGAGAAGATAGATAATGCCCCCAAGACCTTTGAAATAGTAAGACTTGGCAGAAGACTTGGCTTCAAAGCTTCTTCGTGGTCTGTTTCCTCTGAGAATGCAATAACATTTTGCATTTACAAAGAGAACTTTACACAATAGAAAAATGCAAGGGTTTAATTCATAAGTTTGATACCACATGGACTGACAAATAGGGAATGTGAATCATTTATAAATAAATTCCAGATCTAGTGCCACCTTTATGTACTCCTCATCTTTAATGTATTTGTTTAATTTTTTTTCAAATAGTTTAGAAAGTTAAGGTAGGAAGAAAATTGTTACTCTTCTCATTCATTACTTCTCTGCCCTAAAGAGCTTACTTTTGCAGATCATTCATCAAGTATGCTTATATTGACCAACAGAACCATATATTGTCTCCAAAAGTGTAGAACAGTATAATAAGCCCTCCACAAGCTTCCCATAAAGATGTGATTTATCTGCAAGAACAACCTCAGGAATTTTTTGGGCTATATTGATGATTAAACTGGATTACTTTTTCTTTTTAATTCTTTTGACATTTTTTTTTACCAATTCTGCATGCTTATGGCTGGTAATCAGAACAATTAATTTGAAGATAACAATATACAATATAGCAACCATTGTTGAATTCCTATCATTTTGTTTAATGAAATTCTGTATCATTTCTAACGGTTTTCTTTTACTACTTTTTATTGTCTTTTTTAAAAATAAAAAATATATACAAATAAAAAACTGGATTGTTTCTATTGACAACAAAGCAGAATATTTTTTGTTTCTTTTTTGATGCTGGAAGTAGCATTTGTGCTTTAGAAATGATACTTTTTAAACTGGGAAGCTCACATCAGTTCTTAAAATAGAAATTGAATAATTTTTGTGATTCATTTTTGTTCTGTTTTATGAGCTTTAGATGTTTCTAGTGGATTTGCTATCAGTAAGTACATCTGTTCAATGATTGAGATAAATGATGTCACTACCAGCCCCCCCCAAAAAAATCCTTATATCAACCTAAAGCAGTAAAAAGCCAAGTAATTATGACCTCAGCACATCTTACTCCATCAACAACATTAAGCACTATGACACACATCATCATCCAGGTCTTCATTTGGGTTCTTAGATGATTATATTTTCTACCTACAGACACAAATATGTGCATCTTAAATTTTAGCCATTGTCTTAAATTTTCAATTGAGGTGGTAAAAACCACAAACACACATGGGAAGAAGAATATCAGGTCAAAGGAAGTAAATTTTAGTTTCTATTTGTATTTTTAAAAATGTGTTGATATTTCTGATTTTAACTAGGGTGGGCAACTTAAAAGCATTTCTGTCTCTATGAACATGAATCATCTTACTGTGTTGGGAACTTTGTACTCTTCTATTCACTTTAAAATACTTCACAAGTTATTTAAACTAATAGTTAACCTACTGTGTTACAGAAAACGCAGCTCACTCCTGCTCTGTTTTGATGTCCAGGCTGACCTCTCTGCTCCGCCCCAGGCCTGTTCCCTTCCCAGTTCCATGAGCTCTATTCTACCTCCATTCTTCTCTGAGATAAGATCTTATTTATTTATTTATTTATTTATTTATTTATTTATTTATTTTTCAGTACTGAACTCATGGGCTTTGAACTACAGCCCCTATTTTATTTTATTTTATTTTATTTTTTATTTTGAGACAAGGTCTTATTAAGTCACTAAATTAAGCAAGACTGCTCCAACCTTGTGATTCTCCTGCATCTGCTTCCCCAATTTGTGGGACTAGAGGTGTGGTCTACTATGCCCTGCTAAGATCCATTTTTGAAGCAGGTGCTTTTTTATAAGTGGTAAATGGTCCAATATTTGCTGCTTCATGTGATTAAATACCCTTTAAAACTTCATTCCAAAATGTTTCCAAATATGAGACCTAGAGCTATACTACTTTTTCTTTTCTTTTTCCTTTTTTTCCCTTTGATATTATTTCTAAAGATGAAAAGATTACAGTTTGTGCCAGGTACAACCTGTTTAAGTACAGGCTTTCAATGATAGTACCAGGGTGCTATTGCCTTTGAAAGAGCATCAGGGCTGGGGAGATAGCTCAGCGGCATAAGTGCCTGCCTGACAGCGCAAGGACTGAGTTTGATCCCTGGTACAGAAAGAAAGAAGAAAGAAAGAAAGAAAGAAAGAAAGAAAGAAAGAAAGAAAGAAAGAAAGAAAGAAAGAAGGAAGGAAGGAAGGAAGGAAGGAAGGAAGGAAGGAAGGAAGGAAGGAAGGAAGGAAGGGGAAAAGAAAAGACAAAGCATAGACACTGTTAATCTCTAAAGATTTCCATAAAACAGGTTTCGTCTTGGGATTAAGACTTGCTCTCTTTCATTTGATCATGCTTTCCCCTTAGCCATACCATGTAACTCGTATTGCTATTTCTTTCCCTCCAACTTCAGCTTAATCATTAAAATATCAAGTCAGCTTGCAAAC